TAGAGAGAGAGAGAGAGAGAGAGAGAGAAGGGGGACAAAATAACTAAAATAGAGTGCTTGGCTGCCCTAGAGACGTAACTTGGTAACACTTTTTCACGACAGAAGAGAATATATTCAGCCGCCATTCTACCCACCTCATATCCCCATTCTGTGTCTGTCCCCCTTTCCCGTTGTGACCCTCCCCCTACCCTTGGGCCTGTCTCCCAAGCATTAGAGGTGTAACGGTAAGGCTTTTTACAGTAACACAGAAGGATGTGAGTACGACTCCCGAACGAGGGAGGTTTTTAAATCCAGTATTTTCGATCCATCTGTAGAGATGCTGTGAACAGTTTCTCACTTAGCCCAAGTTGACCTTGACAAGAAGGGCCGAAGCAGCCTGCCTCTTAAATTAGCTAAACTATTGTCGGTCTCCGAAATGACTTTAATTGTGCCAAATCGGTGTCTCCCCCCCCCCCCCCAAAAAAAAAGAAGAAGAAGAAGAAAGAAATTAATACAAGGCTCCAAATCTCAATATCACGCCTCAGTGATGTAGATCCATTAATTGCTCTGAAGAATTTATGTGACAAAAAAGAAACACATACCAGATGGAATAGTAAATACTATAAAGAGAAACGTAAGAATCCAGCTAAATGGAGAGATCTATGTACACAACGTGTGGAATCTGGCCCTCTCGCCATTGTCGAAGTTACTACAATCTGGGCACACATCTCGGCTCGACGCACAATCTGGATAGATCTCGAATCTCGAATCAAAACTCGGAATATATTAATGGGCTCAGAGAGGATATTTCCCTTGATGTCGACTAACAAAAAAATCAATGTACAGTGTGGTAAAGAGATTAACCTAAGTCGCTCGCACCTGCTTCAGCTTGAGGGGGGGGGGGGGATTCGCACCACTGGATTCTAATGTGTGGAACAATACTCGTTCTGTCGCTGTAGCACGTAAGGAAGGGATGGTTATATCGGTTCTTCACACCACGAAAGTGCCCTGATCTTTGCCCACAGCGCTCTTTCCTTAATAAAATTCGCATTAGTAGCCTACATTTTCCCCCCACCAACATGTGTGTATAGAGGGGTGTTTTTTTTTAGGTTATTTGCCATGTTCAATAAAAGTGCACCTAGGGAACTTTGATTTTTTTTTTCTTGAAAGCGTATCAGTTCATAGTTTTTGTCGATGGGTTTTTTGGGGGGTTTACGTGGAATCAGGCTGGGTCAATCAACACTGACTTGGACCAGAGGTCAGTAAAGGTAAGTCACCATGCAGGGTGGTGACGGTGATGGTATGCGGTGTTGGTGGTAGTAGCGTTGGTGGAGGTGTTGGTGATGGTATGTGGCGTTGGTGGT